ATTATTATTATAATTATTAATCATTATTATTATTATTATTATTATTATTATTATTATTATTATTCACCAAAAATAACGCACTTAAGACAAACTATATAACGACATATTGGTTCATCCTGGACTATTCTCAAGTCACAGCTGGAGCAAGAGAAGCAGAGAAGGCCAAAAGGCCATACGGTTATTATTATTATTATTATTATTATTATTATTATTATTATTATTATAATCAGAATATAATAAAGTAAGACACACTGACGATGTCAAGATTTTTTTCGTTTCTGTGTTCGGGATCTAAACCATTAGCAAGTTGCTCCGTTGAAGGTTCATTCCTCCTGGTAAACGCTCAGGAGATACAGTACTGTAATATTAACAAGCTAACACGCAGAGACTGTAGTAATAATGGAAAAATCTCAGGGTTTCTCCAACATAATTTTCCCCCTTGAAAGCGGGTTGCCTTGATGCTGGTGAAGGGATCTTAATCTTCGGGTTAAACCTGATTAACTCCCAATCCCCAGGCGCTGCGTGACCCTTAGAGCGTTAGGTACTCCCCTTGCAAATGATAATACTCTTTACACTGCGATTCCATTGTACACTGTGAGTACCTCATTAGTAACACTGCACACAAATAGCCCCCACACAGGAGAGAGACGCTTACAACGACGTTTCAGTGTGACTTTGTAAATGGTTCAAGTCGGACCGAAACGTCGTAGTAAGGTTCTCTCTCCTATGTGCAGGCTATTTCTGCATTGTTCCAGTCATGAGTTGTGCCTTTTGCTCCTAAGATTGTAGCACTGTCATTGATTTTCCCATCTCTTTGCCAGTGATGAACGACAGCGATGGGAGTGACCAATATGCTGGCTCTGTGAGCAATGTTTGTGTCTCTTCTAAAGGTTATCGACTGCACTGGTGTCTATGTCGTTTACTTATTACATCCTTCTGTGCTGACTGACAACGACGTTGACGCCTTTGGTTGTTTTTCTAATCTCTGTTTACGATTCTTCTTCGTTTTCTACTCATCATTATTATCATTATTAAAGATAAAGAAAAAACACTTTAGAGTTTTATCAAGTCAGCGAAATGTTGTACAGTAAAATCTTGTTCAATGTGTATATTATTATTATTATTATTATTATTGTTAGGATAAGCGATAAAACAGTAGGGGTCATACAGCCCATGAGGAATGGGGAGGGAATCAGGTTAGTTCCAAGGAAGAAGAGGATAGGTTCACTCCACTGAATCAAAGGTCCCTCACCAACATCTAGGAATTATCCTTGAGGAAATAAATCCATACACTCGGAGAGATTCTCTCAGCATCTCTTTTTCTTGTTTTCTTCGCCTCCACATTAAGCATTCAGTTATCCTTACACTTCCAATATTAACGAACAAACTGACAAATTCACCCGGAGAATTTCGATCACGAACAAACGAACAATGAAACTCTCACGTCAGATGTTGCTCACTAACGTAAGAACTACCAAACATTCCTGGATAATTTCGCTCATTAAAAAAATACAGGTAACAGATGCATTAACTCATCCGTTGATATATGAGATATGTTGTCACTGCCATTATAAATGGTACTCCCACCACCAGCACCACCGCCACCATCAGCACCACCGCCACACCAGCACCACTGCCTCCACCACACAGAATGTATATTGTCACTGCAATTATAAATGACACACCACCACCACCGTCTCCACCACACAGAATATATATACATCAAGAGATGAACTTCTCTCAGCGTATATGTGCCGAGAGTTAATCCCTTTGTAAGGGATTGAAGTATTATTGTCTGGTGGTGAAAAAGTTACGTGCAGCCTTAATGACCCTAGTGTAGTCGATAGGTTTTAAACCCCGTTAACCAACCCACCGGCTCCACCTCAACCATCACAGCTACCAGCCTCGCAACATGCACCATCAAAATATCACTGTACCAAGAGCACAAACCACCGCTACCATCATCCCAGCAACTACCAACATTGCTTCCACCACAACAAGCCCAGGTATCTTCAAGTAGCCTCAGGACACACCACCACTTGTCAACATCCTGCCACTGACGTCAGCCCACAGGCTTCTGATGACATCATGATGACCTTAAGTGTTGACCTGACACCATGGCCATGACCTCGTACAGGTCACTGAACCATGTCAGGTCACTTCCATAATCCCTATAATACTTAGTGGTCATTGCTGCCGTGGCACGCCGTAGGAAGCGGAACGACCTGGATGTAGAAGCGGCGGAGGCAGATTCCGTGCGCAGTTTTAAGAATAGGCATGACAGGAATCAATGAGGCAAGGAATTTAGTGTTACCGTGATAGAGCTGGCACCACTGAACAGCTTAAGTATTTTCCCTGACTCAATAAAAAGTGAATACATCCCTGGTAAGGCGAAAAGGATGGTGAGGTAGACCACCACTAGGAATCATTATTGACGAAACGTTTCGTCTGCGCTGCAAACCTCATCAGTCGAATGCAAAGATGAATCAGCTCACGCGAGACGTATCGTCGATAAAGATTCCAAGTGATGCACATGTGTCTTACTCATCAACTTCTGGCTATACCGACAGGTGTGGTAGAATGGAGACAGCGGAGCAACGTTTCGCTCATGTGCAAGCGAACCTTTGCCCAAATAAAAGCCTCTTCTGTAACGTGTATCTTCTCCACTGTGAGACCAACAGATATGTTCATTCATACTCAGGACCACACGACCTTCACAATCACTATGATTGACGTTGATTGACTTGATGACGCCATCTACAATGATGTCACTTTTACGAGGAGCCAATCATGTGTCGCTGTTTGACGCCCATCTATATGACATCATCCCCTTGTTTTTGAAGCCAACTTGGTGACGATAATTGTCTGTTGGAGCGTAGGTTAGCGTTGACGTCAGCGGGAATCAAGGGATCCTGTTGTATGGGAAACAATGGTCAGAAGGTTAATGGTTAATGGTCAGAAGGTTAACGGGTTATTGCCCCAGAATTCTCGGTTTCTTACCGACTCCTCTCTAATTTTTTACGGATTCATCGCTGTTTCTTCCCGATACCTCTTTTGTTCTCTCTGATTCCTCTTTTGTCGCTTCCTCTGCGTTTTTTTTTTTTACCCACTCCTAGATATTTCTCTCCAATTAATCGCTGTTTCTCACCAACTGATCGCCGTGTAGTACCAACTAATCTCTGTTTCTTACCAATTAACTATGCTCTCTTTCTCACTGACTTCTATGTACCTTACGCTGTTGACTGTGCGTAGCTGTGCCGTAATCCTACAAGGAATCCTTTTAAATCCTTTTAATTTTATTAATTTGTTGCATCTTTCAGAATTTTGCTGTATCTCAGCGACACCAAACATTATCATAGCGAAATCTTTTTGTATTTTAGAGAGACCTTACAGTATCTTAGTGAACACTTAGCGCATCTTAGCAAAGACTTTTTTGTATGTTAGAGATATATTATTATATTTTAGCGAGATCTTAATACATTAACAAATTCTTAAGGCAAAACTTTCCATTTTTTAACAGAGATATCTTATCTTAATGAGTCTTTTCAGCATTTTAACGAAATCTTACCGTATACAAAAGTATTCTTACTGTATCTTTGAGAGCGAGCGAGAGAGAGAGAGAGAGAGAATCACATGCATATGCAGACGACTGTACACTGACATTCACTTATCCAAGAGAAGAAATGCCAGCTGCTCTAAGCTACGTCAATCACCAGCTGAGAGCTATATCAGCTTGGGGAAATAGATGGCAAGTAACATTTGCACCTGAGAAAACGCAAATGATGATCGTCTCTAGGCACCATGATGGTAATGCTGGTGCAGTAGTAAGGATGAATGGGAGGATGTTGGCACCTGGAGAAGTTGATATCCTTGGGGTGAAATTTGACTCCAAACTAACCATGAAGAACCATGTTGTAAATCTTGCAAACAAGGCAGCCAGGAAGCTTACAGCACTTCGCCGTATCTCCCATCTGCTTGACAGAAGGGGTTGCAAGATCCTGTACGAGGCACAAGTACGCTCGCACCTTGAGTATGCTCCACTTTCATGGTTTGCCTGCCCCCCTCTCATCTGCGACTGCTTGACAGAGTAGAGAACAGAGCAAGACGTCTCATCTCTCGCCTGGACCCATCCTGGATAGATCTGTCATTTCAGCAGAGCCTTCAACATAGGAGGGATGTGGGTGGCCTTACTGTTATGTACAAGGCCAATATTGTCAAAATACCACACTTGGATCCACTTCGAGGAAAGCGTGAAACAAGCTTTTATGCCACAAGACGGGCAGAAAGCAGCAACTTCACTCTGGCTGTGCCCTTCTCCAGAACATCACTCCATCTGAGATCATACATACCCAGGATGACTCGAGTATGGAACACATTCGTACAGGATAATGATGTCAACGAGATAAAGTCAGTTGATCAAATGAAAATGCTGGCCCACAGATGGCTCCAACTTCATCCTGTTTCCTACTTGTATGTCTCATAACAATAAAAATGCTTTCAAATGAGCTGATGTAGGTAACAGCTCTTAGCTTGCCAATAAAGTTAGGAATCCTTAACCTGTAAATAGCTGTCAATAAAGCTAGGGATCCTTAACCTTGTCAAACCCTGTGTAAAAAAAAAAAAAAAAAAAAAAAAAAAAAAAAAAAAAAAAAAAAAAAAAAAACAGAGAGAGAGAGAGAGAAATAATAGAGAAACCTTCCTAAAAGACTTGCAGAAACACACAGGATTAACAATCTAACTCTTTGCATTTTCCCATTCATTTATTATTATTATTATTATTATTATTATTATTATATTATTTAATTCATGCTGAAGCGCTAAATCTGGAGGGGTCAAAGAGCGCCTGGAGCATGTTAGGTAATCAGATTAATCACGAGCATCAAAGCGCCTTCACTGAAGAGATAATACCGGAGGGAGAGAGTTACGCAGACGGACATTGTCAACATTTAGACTCGTATTATGCACATTCAACATTCAGTAAGCTCTGATTGTTTTGACAGATGTTATTCGCGAGCCTGGCTGCTCCTTCTCCCTGGAAGGAGAGACTGGATATATGGAGTCCCCCAACTACCCCAATCAGTACCCAACGGGTAGAGATTGTTGCTACGATATTACCAGACCTTCACGTAACTATTGCGGAGTCCAGCTCACGGGTGAGTATTCTTCTTTCTTCTTCTTCCATCTTAATAATAATAATAATAATAATATTATTATTATTATTATTTTTATTTTTATTATAGCTATTATTTCGATATTAGCCATTATTATAGGTATTATATTTTTATTAATATTTATCATTATTTTTATTGGTGTAGTTATTATTTCGATCATATTAGTCCTTATATAGCTATTATACTATATTATTATTAATTATTACTATTAATATAATATAGATGTGGTAGTACTACTACTACTACTAGTAGTAGTAGTAGTAGTAGTAGTAGTAGTAGTAGTGTAGTAGTAGCAGCAGCAGTAATAATATTAATTAAAGTATATTCAAGGAGAATGGGTTACAACATAGAGTTCATACTACACCAAGAAATAAGAAATAAGATATAAACCTTGATTAATATACCCCACTCATATTGCCAGCTCTTTTTCACTCATATATTTGTCCGGCGTATTATTAAAGCTACACTCTCGTAGCCAGGCTTCCTAAATAAAAGCCGTCCCTCTGAGGTCCATCTGACAGGTGAGGCGCTGTTGTTTCATGAAGTTGGTAGATTTACTGATAATATGTCGAGTAAAAGAGCACATTTGCAAACCAACGAGACATTTTATTTACGGGAATGTTTCGCTTTCAACTAGCTTTGTCATGCCAGTTCATAGCTCGTTGCTGCGGTAAAATGTCTCATTAGCTGCACGAGTGTGCTTTCGCCAAATCGCTGTTGTTTAAGCAAGCTAACAGATATTAACTCACTGGTAGTGCCTTCGACTTAGAACCGAAAGACCCAGGATAAATTCGGAAAAGGTTGGCGTATGTGACACTCTAAATACTTGTTCCTTATGTTAGTCGGCACTTAGTCGCATTTTACAGGGTGAAATATGCTTTAGACAAGGCTGAATTTTGAACAGAATCAAGATCGAAGAACAGTTCTGATCCTATACGATAAAATTTTTCCCATGCACAGAGAAACCGAGTCAAGGGCGAGTGACTAAGCTTAAACTGACATGTGTGTCCTAAGCTTACTTTCTTGTGCACCACATGGAATAACTTAAAGACATATTTATCAGTGATGTTATACATAAATAAGTATGTTAATAAGAAAAAAATATGCTGTTTATGGTATTTTATTGAAAAGACAATTCGTCCAAAAGGGACTTTATCAATTCTCAAGATAAAAGTCACTGATGGACGAAACGTTTTCTCAATAAATTGCCATAAGCAGCATGTGACGTAAATGGTTTAAAAAAAGCGACAAGTTGAAGAATGAGACATTTCTGAAACATCTGGGAATCTTTCTTGGGGAAACGTTTCGCCAGCCAGCGGCTTCTTCAGTCCAATACAGAGAAGAACTGTGGAAGATGAGGAGTAGTTTGAAGTAATCGCCTCCATACTGAGGGACTGATTACCTCAAACTCCATAAGCCACATATTGTGTCTTATTAACATACAAAGACGCGAAGAGAGAGCAAATATTTTCTACCTGTCAGTTAGCCTTTAGGAAGGAGTGCCTAGCTCCTATGTACCTTGATAAACCTTTATTATTTAATCTGTGGATGATGAGGTTTGAGTGAGGTATCACGAGGAATTCCATTGAGTGGGAAGCAAGGAGAGGCAAGAAATGTGTGTTGGATAAGAAAGTAGCAGGTGATGTTTTGTTCGATAGGAAACACAACAGTTTTAGTGGGAAAAATGATACCTGTGTATAGTTTAGGACATTTATTAAAGGAAGAGTTTCCCCATGAGGGGCCTCATCAGTCCTGACGAGACGTTTCTTTTAATAAATGAAATGAACTGTAAACAGGTGTCCCTTTCCACAGTTTGTTGGTATCGCCGCACCACTTACAATCATGGCAGTGTTTGACCATTTACAACCACGACGGGTGTTTGTTATACATTGACCTACTCAGCTAACTTTTCACCAGGTTTTAAAATTAAAGGCTCGCTGCATAGTAGTTTTGCTAGATGTAGTAAAGGCCTTGGTGAAAGTTTGCTGAAGGTGGGGTCAACACCTTAGGGAATGATCATGAGCTGAGAAAGAGAGAAGTGAGGCATAATTTGTTGTGTAAATTTTATTAATCTAAGGAATATAAAACAATAACAGAGTTAGATTAATATGTATAAAATTTATTAATTAGGTAATTGTAAAGCTATGATTGATTTAAATTAAGCTTATAAACTATCTGGTTAGCCTAAAGAGTCAACACCCCTATCACCCTACAGAGAAACAGTGAAATACCATTATGCTATGTTTTTTGCATAATGTTTTCTGCACCTATGCTGGCAAGGAAAGAGAGGAGGTGAATCTCTGAATGACTCCTTCTTTGCCATAAGACTGTATGAGAAAACGTTACATCCATATCCTTCATACACCACCTGGGGAATAAGAGGATATTAGCTAATTTTTTAAGGAAGTGTATAAAATAATTAGTACATGTATACCTGGCTTATGGTGTCGAGTATACTCAAAGTGGGAGGAAAATATATTGAAATAAATGAGTAAATGATAAAATATAACTACTTTAAGTTGTTTTATTTAGTTAATCTGTTAGTTTTATTATGTACTTCATACCCTTTCTATAGGAAATAGTCAAAATATTGCAGTCAAAATAAATGCAGGTCCCTTACAATTGTTGAAGTCTAAATATTTCAAACCATAGCAATGCCTTGGGTGAAAAAAAGTTTACAAGTGTGACAAATAGAAATCAAAAAGTGTAGAATCCTCAAGGCCTCAAGAAAGGATGTAACTAACTGAAGTCACTTGGACAGAAAAATGAAGCACAGGCAAGAGACAAATTAATTCAGTCTCAGTCAGACAATTTCTTCAGCAGATCTGAAAGCTGAAATATACAAAAGCCAAAATATACACATCTCTTTCACCCGTGTTTCACATTTAACTCCAAGTGTTATCTCACTTTAAAGCACTCAGTGTCCGTGACACTTTAATCAAAGCCCGTAATTGTTTCCCCCGACTACAGTTGAGAACCTAGACGTGGGTCATGGAGAAGAGGAAGGCTTCTGCAGAAGGGACTGGGTGACTCTTCCTTCCTGTGTACCCGAGCGAGGTACTAGAATATGCGGCAACACCACCGGTCAAAACTGTAAGTTCAGCCACTGTTCAGTTACCTCCAGAGCCGCTGGTTTACGAGGAAACAAGTCGAGTTCTATTAGGAATGTAGAACTCACGCATCAAAGCGAATGTATTTATTAGTTTCAGGAAATCGCCTATTGAGAAACATGGTTTGTGGAGAAAGCATTCTTCACTTCTCCGTGGAGATGAAAGGAAACACTCATTTAACTCTATATTACTATTATTACGATTATTATTATTAGTATTATTATTATTATTATTATTGCTATTATTATTATTATTATTATTGCAATTATTATTATTATTATTATTATTATTATTATTATTATTATTATTATTATTATTGCTATTATTACTCTAAACACGTAAGGACCACATAGCGCCTGTAGAATGAGAGATACTCGGTTTTGATTCGGTAAAGAGGAGGGTAAGTCTAATTCCTCGAATCAAAGGCCATTTCCCAGCATAGAGGCACTCATCCCTTGCAGGACAAACGATTGACAGCTGTCAGAACTACGAGTGTGACTTCCATCGCTAAAAACTCACAGGGTCGACCAGTATAGAGAGGCTAGCCACAAGCTTTTCTCTACTGCAACATTCTTTTCACAAAGTCATATTCTTACACATACAGAGGCCATCATTAAGACTTCCGGAGGCCTTAACTGACAATATTAGAAGTTTATAAAGAAAATATTTTGCAAAAATTTTAAAGATTTTTTTTTTGTAGTTTATGAAAAAAAGATGTGTTGACTGAGTTTAGTGGGTGTGATAATTCGTAGCTGCAGTAGTATATTTCTAAGATTAATTATTTCGGGGTATATACTACGAGAGATAGTATAGAAGCACTCAGGGTTTAACTCCTTTAATAATGGTGTTGCAGAGGTAAAATACAGCCTTAGAGACCTCGTGTAGTCGACAGGTCTAAAACATTTTAAGCCAAACCAATGCAGATAGTACTCTGTTGACAGCCTCAATGTGAGCTTTTGAAGTCTTCTTCTTCTGTCTGCCTTCCCTATACACACCCATGCTATCTCTGTCTCTCTCTGTACCTGTTTGTTTGTCTTTCTGTCTGTCTGTCTCTCTGCACACAGGGTTTTACACGGTTAGGTTGAGGGTTCTTAACTTTATTTACAAACTAAGAGCTGTTACCTACACCAACTCTCTTTGTCTGTCTGTCTGTCTGTCTGTCTCTCTGTCTCTGTCTGTCTCACGCTCTCTCTCTCTCTCTCTCTCTCTCTCTCTCTCTCTCTTCTCTCTCTCTCTCTCTCTCTCTCGCTGAGCAAATCTTACCACATGAAACAGGTTTATAACATCCAAGTATTCACCTCAGCGACAATGCTCAATCATCATTATCATCATCTGCCTCGTGTTGTGGCTTGCGGCCTAAGTGGTTTGAACCGAAGGACCCTGTCTGAACCCAGCACCTTTGGTTCAAAACCGAAGGTCTTAGGTTCAAACCCATAATACGTTTGAATGTTGAGTATGTCTCTGAACACCTGCTGTCGCTGTTCACCTAACAACAGGTTCCTGCCAGGGTATTAGCAGATTGTTATGGGTCGCGTGCTGTGGGGAGAGGTTGAAAGGAAGCCAGAGGGAAAAAGCCATTCTGACTGAGTTTATTGGGTTATGCTGAGTTAATAATCCGATTAAATCTCCGCTATTGTCGTCGTTGTTGTTGTTGTTGCAAAGAACTAACCTTTGGTGTTTCTCCACAGACCAGTACCTGTTCCAGCCTGGAGCCTCGGCTATACGATTTGTATTCCACGCAGGAGAAGCGTCGGAAGGACGGAAAGGCTTCAGAATCAGGTAGGACACAGTAAATTCTGGAAATCAGATAGGATATGCAGAGACTTCTGCTATTAAAGTTCACTTGAAAATAGTTAACTGGATTTTCCTGTCCAGATGCTTGATTTATTTTTCTCTTAATTTTTTTTTTCAGGTTCGAAAATATATATATATATATATATATATATATATTGTGGTGTGGTGTGTGTTGTGTGGTGTGTGGTGTGTGTGTGTGTGTGTGTGTGTGTGTGTGTGTGTGTCGTCCCCGAATGGGTAAAATTATTCTAGTAGCAAGAAATAGTTTAAAATTAAGTTCTTTCTAAAATTTTCTCTTATGCGTTTAAAATATATTTTTTCATTTATGGTAATGTAAAAATTAATAATTTTGTACCAAAAATAACCTTAGAAAACTTACCTAACTTTGTTATGACAAGCGCAATTTAATTTAGCCTAATCCAGCTAAATATATCTTAGATAAGTTTATAATAATTTAATAATAAACAAACACATTGAAATATATTTTTTTCGTTAGGTTCACAACGATTTTTGCGAAATTGTTCCATACACAAATTTTCGCTTGCCTTATTCGGCAAGAAAAGCGTTGCAATTTAAGCCAAAATCGCAAATTTTACCTATTCGCACGTGGTCTGCGAGGTCACCGGATCTAACTGTTTCTGACTTCTTTCTTTGGGGATACGTGAAGAGCACATTTTAGGTACCACCAGTACCTGCAACCCTGGAATAGCTGAAAATATCGATCACGGAAGCAGTTCGCATGATGACACCGGATATGCTGCAGAGCGTCTGGACCGAACTAGACTTCGCATCGATGTTTGCCGAGCAACCAGAGGGGCGCACATTGAGTGCCTTTAATGCTACCCTATACCACATGAAACTGGATGAATTCCGGCATCTGAGGCAACTAACTGTGAAAGATTATTATAATGAAGTTGCAAGTTATACCTGTGTGAAATCATGAAGTGTTTTTGTGGGCACCAAAAAAAATAAATAAATAAATAATATATATATATATATATAAATATATATATATATATATATATATATATATAAATATATATATTATATATATATAAATATATATATGTGGGAACGTTTTGCTCTCCAGGAGCTTTATCAAGCCATATATATAAATATATATATATATATATATATATATATATAATATATATATTATATATATATATATATATATATGTATGTATAATATATATGCGCGCGCATATGCATGCGCGCGCTAACGTAGCTCGATCGATAGCGCACTCAGCTCAAACACTGAGATCCGGAGTTTGAATCTCCGGTACGGCTGGAAAACATTAGGAACGTGTTTCCATAAGACACATGCTGTCCCTGTTCACCCATCAGTATAAAATGGGTACCTGGGTGTTAGTCGGCTGATGTGGGTCGCATGCTGGGACAAAACTGAACTAATTTGCCCGAAATGCTCAGCATAACAAGTGGCTTTCTATATAGGAGTATGTCATTGATGTCAGCTAGACCTGTATATCTTGTACATGTACTTGTAGAAATAAAGATATTATATTTTATATATTAATATATATATATATAAAATATAAAATATATATATATATAATATATATAAAAATCAATAACAACACTGCGATAGCCGGGGATCGAACCCGTGTTGGTTTAGCCCGCCTCATGTTTAGCGAAAGTTCACAACGCTCTGGTTCGTCTTTACAGTACTATATATACTGCTTGTGAAGGCTAGTACAAACCCGGGCCACGGTAACAACACGCAGCTCTGCTGGTGCGTGATCTTTGTAGGATTGTATGGTCCAGTCGGTTTAAACGCGTTTATTTCGCTCACCCTGGGGGGGCGAATAAAGTTACTTACTTACTTACCTAAAATAAGAATTAAGTATGTTCTCAGTGGATGTACAGTAAGAGGACATAAGCCAACCTTTACTTGTATACCCGAGCATCATCATGTTTTCTACTTAGGAACTCGCCTCAGGTACAGCTGACTGACCATATGTCCTGGGGCCCTACCAGACGGCAACTCATCCAGTATCCACTATCCCGGGCACCACTTCGCACCCGTGCTATACCAGGGTTCACGGACACTCGAGGCACCGTCAACACGCCCTACCACCCTAAGAAAGTACCCAGGACAACCTTGACCTGTGTTTACGAATTCATAAGGTTTGAGAAAAATCTAAAAAAAATTTGTTGAAGGGGAGAAATCAGTTTGTAAGAAGTGTATTATCATATTATATATTATATATATTATATATATATATATTATATATATATATATATATTTTATATTTTTATTTTATTATCACACCGGCCGAATCCCACCAAGGCAGGGTGCCCGAAAAAGAAAAACTTTCACCATCTTACACTCCATCACTGCTTGCCAGAAGGGTGCTTTACTACAGTTTTTAAACTGCAAACATTAACACCCCTCCTTCAGAGTGCAGGCTTCGGGGGGACACCTGTACCTTCCCATCTCCAGGACTCAAGTCCGGCTGCGGTTTCCCTGAATCCTTCATAATATGTTACTTTGCTCACACTTACAACAGCAGTAAGTTATTAAAAACCATTTGTCTCCATTCTCTCCTATCAAAACACGCTCACGCATGCCTGCTGGAAGTCAAGCCCCTCGCACACAAATCTCCTTTACCCCCCCCCTCCAACCCTTCCTAGGCCGACCCATACCCCGCCTTCTTCCACTAAGACTGATACACTCTTGATTCATTCTGTTTCGCTCATTCTCTCTACATGTCCGAACCACCTCAACAAACCCTTCCTCAGCCCTCTGCGACAAAGTTTTTGGTAATCCCACCTCCTCCCTAAACTTCCAAACTACGAATTCTCTGCCATTATATTCACACACACATTGCCCTCAGTCATGACATCTCCACTGCCTCCAGCCTTCTCTCGCTGCAACATTCATCACCCACGCTTCCACACACCATATAAGAGCGTTGGTAAAAACTATACTCTCATACATTCCCCTCTTGCCTCCAAGGACAAAGTTCTCTTGTCTCACAGACTCCTAAGTGCACCACTCACTCTTTTTCCTCATCAATTCTATGATTCACCTCATCATTCATAGACCCATCTGCTGACACGTCCACTCCCAATATCTTGAATAGTTACCTCCTCCATAATCTCTCCCTCCAATCTGATATTCAATCTTTCATCACCCTAATCTTTTTTGTATCCTCATAACCTTACTCTTTCCTGTTATTCACCTTTAATTTTTTCTTTTGCAACCCTACCAAAATTCATCCTACCAATCTCTGCAACTTCTCTTAGAATGGCTCCCAAGAGCTAGTGTCATCAGATAAGCATTGTGACAACTCCCCTTTGTGTGTGAGTCTTTATCTGTTAACTCCCACGCCTCTTGCCAAGGACCCTCGCATTTACTTCTCTTTACAACCCCATCTATAAATTATTAAACAAACCACCGGTGACATCACACTTCCTTGTCTAAGGCCTACTTTTACTGGGGAAAAAATTTCCCTATTTTCCTACATACTCTAACTTGAGCTCACTATCTCGTAACAAACTCTTCACTGCTTTCAGTAACCTACATCCTACACCCATACTACTTGCAACATCTGCCACATTGCCCCCCTTATCCACCCTGGTCATACGCCTTTTTCCAAATCCATAAATGCCACAAAGCCTCCTTTAGCCTTCATCTAAATACGTTCACTTATATGTTTCACATGTAAACACCTGGTCCACACAACCCCTCCTTTCCTAATAAGCCTCCTTGTTCATCTGCTATCCTATTCTCCGTCTTACTCTTTATTCATTTCAATTAATAACTCTACCTACACTTTACCAGTACACTCAACAGAAGACTTATCCCCCTTATAATTTTTTGCACTCTCTTTTATCCCCTTTGCCTTTATACAAAGGAACACTATGCATGCTCACTGCAATCCCTAGGTACCTTACTTCTTTCATACATTTATTAAATAATTGCACCAACCACTCCAAAACTATATCCCCACTGCATTTACATTTCTTTCTTTATCCCATCAATCCGGCTGCCTCCATACCCCTTTCATTTTAACTTCTGCCTCACGACTTCCCCCCACACTCACAACTGCTCTGTCCTCACTCCTACAGAGTTATTCCTCCTTGCCCTATACACGAAATCACAGCTTCCCTATCTTCATCAACATTTAAACAATCTCAATATTCCTTCCATTTCCCAATACCTTAACTCTCATTTTATAAACTCTTCTCTCCTATGTTTAAACTGACAAAATCCATTTGTTCTCTAGGCTTTCTTAACTTGTTAATCTCACTCCAAAACTTTTTCTTATTTTCAAACAAAATTTGTTGATTAACATCTACACCCACTCTCTCATTTGCTCTCTTTTTACATTGCTTCCCACTCTCTTAACTTCTCTCTTTATCTCCATATCTTCCCTTTGCAATCACTTCTACTTTGTTAAAAACTTTCATTTGCTTAACTCTTTTCTCCCTTACTACTCTCTTACATCATCATTCCACCAATCGATCCGCTTCCCTCCTGCACCCACTTTCTGTAAACCAAACTTCTGGCTGAACACTCTAACACTACATTTTAAACACTACCATACCTCTTCGGACCCCATTGCCTATGCTCTCATAGCCCATCTATCCTCAATAGCTGTTTATATTTCTTACCCTAACTGCCTCTCTCTTTTAGTTTAATAATCCTTCACTCTCTTCTTCCCTGATGCTTCTATTCTCCTTGTATCCACTACCTTTTACTCTCAGTGTAGCTTCAACTAGAAAAGTGATCTGATAATATATGTGCCACCTCTAATAAATGTACATCCTTGAAGTTCTACCTCAAAGTCTTTTATCTACCCAATACATAATCAACAAACTACTGTCATTTCGCCCTAATCATATCGTGTATACTTTATTTATCTCCTTTTTCTGTAAAATATGTATTTACCTATAACTAAACCCTTTCTATACAAAGTTCATCAAAGGGCACCCATTTATCAATTACACCTGAACCC